CCACCTAACCTTCGCTCTGTTTGTGGATCTTTTTATACGAACAGTACCTTCGGGAGTAGAAAGAAGGAACATATTTTGAGGGACCGCATGACTTGCCCCTCTCCGACTTCGCAGGCATGCCTTTTCCGAGTTTCGTGTTGCCTCTTTCGACGGCCTTGAATCAGCAGCGAAGCAAGGGAGCATGCATGGCTGTGCGCCGCCAGAACCAGCAAAAGAACAGAGGACCGAGCCGGATTCGAACCAGCGGCCTTGCGATCTGCAATCGCACGCTCTAACCCCTGAGCTACCGGTCCAGGTATAAGAAAAGTGAAGCTGTAGTTTGGATGGTGTTATCTTGGTGTCTGTCTCGTAGCGGGTTTGGACTTCGCGACTGAGCTCATCGGGTGGTCAGAATCGAGATGACGCCTTCTTTCATATCCTTTTAGCCAGTACAGAGGGCAACACGAAGTTTTTCTGCAACGGCATTCAACTGAATAGAATCTCAATAGGAAAAAAATAACCATCGAAGTTCCAGAGCTCATCAAGATATGGAAGGCTGCAAGACCTACCTGTGATGACTTCCAAACTTGGGTGCTACGTGGTGTCCTTCACAGAGCCCCACCATGCGCCCTACCCGTACCGTGCCTTGCAACAGTGCAAGCGAGCTCGGTGGCACTGCTCCACTCGTCCACCATCAGCAGCTCAACGAGGGGCAGGCGCGGGGCAACGGCGGAACGCGGCATCCAGCGTCTTTCAATGCCGTCACATTTGCTTGGTACGACCCCCCCCCCTCCTCCAGCCAGACCTTGTCCTCGTCTGGTTCGGTCTGGTCTGACTTCTCATCTCTTCATCATCCTCTTGCAAAATTCAAAATCAAGTCAGAGCACATCTGGTATCCATATTCGACCAAGGGCACCACCGTTGATTCCTCACCCCTCCTCTTGTGTTGAGCATCTCAATCAGCCTTGCCCTGAGTCGCAAACTACCCCACCATCAGCTCAGCCCAGCTTGCGCCCTCAGTCACTACCGCTCTCTACCTTGGGTGTCTGACAAGTCATCCTCGTCAGCTACCACACCTCGCACCATCACACACTGCCACAGAGGCCGCCCGTTGGACAAGCAGGACCGCGACTCTCGGCGTCGTCAGCAACACGTGAAAGCGCAAGCCTATCATCACTCTCGCACGCTGGCGCTGCAATCTTCTCCACCCTAACTATCTCATCTTCGCAAATTTGGGAAGCTTGACATTTCCATTGCGCCATACCAACGTACGCGACACTCGAGCGCATAATCTTTCAGCACAACACAACACATTCCCCTCCTGCTTGGCGTCTCTGCGATATCCATCATCACACAGGAATACTACCCCTCGCCGTCTCTTTCGTCCGTGCAGTATCAGGCACATCATGGCTTCCTTCCGATTCGGCAAGGGCTCCTGGTTCCTGGTGTTCTGCATTGTCTTGGTGCTCCTGCCAGGACGAGCTGCTGCTTTTGGCGCTGGCAACATCCCCTCCATCGCGCAAGTCGAGGGTCACAATTGGCGCCATGGCGACATTGAAGACATGCTCGAATCATCGCCTACCTGAACGGCAAGAAATGGACTTCGCTTCTCATCTCTCGCG